TGCTTTATGATTAACACTGCGTTTCATTTACGTAGGACACAGTTTTATTTAACGATACGATTAAATACAATATTCGTTATAGTAAAATTGGAGCTACTGATAAACAAGTTGAAGAAGCTGCCAGTGCAGCTCAAATTCATGATAAAATATTAGGATTTCCTGAAGGGTACGAAACTAGAGTTGGGGAGAGAGGTTTGAGACTTTCAGGCGGAGAGAAACAGCGAGTTGTAAGTATGAGGTAGAGTTGTTAATGGAGTGCTCCAGTTAATAAAAAACATATAACCCACTCCGGCGCACTCCAGCGGGTTATATGTTTTATTATAGTCTGGAGTACTCCATTAACAACCCTAGTATGAGTTGATAAACTTTCATTTAGCAATTTACCTTTAAAGTATTGAATATTTGATAAAGGCTATTAATTATATTGGTCTTATTAATTAAATTGATTTTTTTAAGGCTATTGCGAGAACTTTGTTAAAGGTATTCGTACAAACTTAATTATATAAATTAATATTTGCAACTTCGTGTATTGACTAGCTTTTATATTAGAATCCACAAATTGTTTTACTCGACGAAGCTACTTCTGCACTCGATACGCGTACTGAAAGGCATATACAAAAATCCTTGCGTAGGATGACTGCTAACCGAACGACGTTGATAATAGGTATTGTTGTAATAATTATCATATTTTTATTTTATCATTTATTTTACTTATTATTTGGCATTCAATTTTATGCAAAGCGCACCGTCTTTCGACTATAGTCCATGCAGACCAAATACTCGTCTTACAAGATGGAGAAATTATTGAAAGAGGTAAATTTGTCTAAAGAAAATATGCGGTTATGCAATTGTTTACTATATAATTCATGATTTATCACAGGATCGCATCTTGAATTGATGCAAAAGGAAGGTGTCTATTATAAGCTTTGGAATAAGCAATTAAAACATCATGAAAAGATTAAAAAAGAGGCTGAAAACCAACAGAATATTGCAAACGCAACTGATATAGCAACTACAGCT